TTCCCAATCTTGGCAATATCACTGATGTAAGAAAGTTCCACTCCCAAAAACTATAAAGACAAAATTAGGCCAAAGTCTGCATTATCAGCAACTACTAGTATAATGGGCTTAGGGTGCCAACCAATTGCAGAGTACAGATTTCTCTTATAACTTATCAGGCCCCCACATACCTGGCTTTCGATTTTCAGTTGACTCCTGAACTGCAGCCAATTGAACTGCATGGGTCAGTTGAAAAACACCCGCATGTAAGGGGACTCAAGCAGTTCAAACTCAGTTCAAGCCCGTGTTGTTCAAGGATCAACCGGAGATGGTTTATTTCCACCAAAAACAATGCCCTGTTTACCCCGACCCCCTCTTCCCCTGTCTGATGGATTTTGTTCAATATCTCAGCACGCCTTCCTTATTTGGCTCAGAGTTCTGCCACTTTTTTTTTTAATATGTTTTTATGGATTTCAGAGGGAGGAGGGAGAGGGAGAGAAAAACATCAATGATGGCAGAGAATCATTGATCGGCTGCCTCATGCATGGCCCCTACTGGGATCAAGGCTACAACCTCGATTGGGAATTGAACTGTGACCTCCTGGTTCATAGGTCAATGCTCAACCACTGGGCCATGGAGAGGTGCGGGGGTTTGGAGGCAGGGGCGGGGGGAGAGCAGAGTTCTGCCACTTTAGTAACTTAAGATACCCGTTACTTAAATATGGGTAAGAGATGGGTAAGATTAATCCTTTTCCAAACTCTCAAGCCAGTGAAACGTGGTCGTTTTTATTACAGCAGGACTGAGGAACCACTCGCTTTTCCCTGCACCAAGCAGCCTCGAATCCTCGCTTGCCCGGCCAGAGGCGCGGAGGGTTTTGGTGCCCCGCTGGCCAGTTCAGCACCGTTTCTTCTCATATATGATCCCCGTTCAGGCCTGTTAGCCCGAGTGCCCCACAGGCCGTGGAGAAGCGGCCCCGGACTCCATTATAACGCCTCTTAGCACTTCCTGCACATCCACGCTGTGCCGGTGGGGTACCTGGCTGTGTGCGAGGCGCCTGCAAATGGGATTCTAGACATCACATCACCTTGCCTGCCCCTCCCGCGGGCGAGGGAGAAGGCGGGTCTCGCTCAGCGACCAAGGTTTCCTTTGATGTTCTCAGGTCTGTATCTGCCCCCACCCCCTCATTTCTACTTCGATGGGTGAAACCAGTACTTTCCAGGGCAGGGCTGACACCTGGGGCTTCCCCGTGTGGGCAACTAGGGAAACCGAGTCAAGGTAACATAGGTCCCAGCATCTCTAGGCACAAGCAAGATTGGGTCACCTTCTTTCAGCTTTGATTTCTGGGTCCCGATGGTGATGAACGTGCATATGTGTGTGTGCGTGCGTGCATGTGTGTGTGTGTGTGTGTGTGTGTGTGTCTTCTTCCATCTCATGCCAAGAGAAGAACACGGCAGTCTAAAGAGAGGGTACACAGGTTCCAGGGAAGCTGGGGACATCAATTGATCAGGACATCTGGGCCAGGCAGGCAGCCGAACAGTTTATAAGAGAGAGACAGACACGGGCCTTGCCTGTCCAAGTTCAGCAGAGCTGACACCTCTGAGCTTCACTTGGTACCATTGGACCTCGCCCGGAACCCTTCCAACTGTCCGGGCAGGAGAGAAAGGCCCTCTGCTAATTACCCGGAGGCCAGCTTTCTGCCCCTTTGAAGTGCTCGCTTTGATGTGATCTAATTCCCGCTGCCAGGCCGGCTGTGCCCAGATTAAGCACATAATGAGCAATTATCAGCCGGGCTTGGGGAGAGAGGCCGAGGCAGCCGAGTGGAAGCGCTGCCTGCACCCAACACCGAGGACTCAGCCGCCCCAGGCTCCCGCTGGGGCTGGGTTCATTCCCAAACCCACTTCCCCTCCCAGCCCGGCCCTCCGGGGTTGGTTTTCCCATCCGTGAAATGGGCTTGGAGGACCTGGAGGCCACTCTGCTTCCGTGGCTGCTCACCTCCCTTCATTCCGGCCTCCCTCCCGACCCTCAAACGAAGCAGGTTCTCTCCCATTCCTGCTTTCTCACTCGTGTTCTTCCTTCCTCCTAACCATGTGCCCCCACTCCAGTTCCGAGGAACTCAGCTCCCCTCCTCAGAGAGGCCACCGCCTCCTGCCCAGCCCAAGCGGGGTCCCATCTCACCCCCACTGCACCTTTCCTCGTCCTTCCTGGCCTCGTCCCGGTCCCCCTCAGACAGTGATCTGTGGGAATATCTGATTCGTGCTCACATCAGCAGCCACAGGCAGACACCTCACAGGGGGCAGGTGCATGGGGCTCAGGCAGCAGGTGCTGGGGGATGATTTGGTGATGAATGAATGAATGAATGAATGAGCGTGACCACCAACGTTGCTGGGGCCCAGGTATCAGGTCTACCCTGAAACCCAGGATGTGCTTGCTGTCTGCTCAGAGGAGACCCCCCAAATCACATGAGCCTCAGCCCCCATTATAGCTTTTACTCCCAATCAACTCGGGTTGTGTTCCAGCAGGATTTTAACCATAGCCCAAGCCCCCCAAAATTCCCTTAAAACAAACACCCTCCCTCTCCCAAGAGGGGGGCAGCTTTAGACACTCACCCCCTTTGGGAAGGGTCACCATCACCTACGCCCCCTCCCCCAGGGAGCTGAGCCACCAGCGTGGCCCCCAAACCTGAGAGCACTGTCTCCTCGGGAGGCCGGGTGTGGGGGGGCGGCGAGCAGGGGGAGCAGGCAGGCAGTTCTCACCTCTCAGCATCTGACATGATTGCCTTTCTCTCCTCGCCCGTGAGTGCGGAGGTGTGCTGGGAGCCGGTGGCTTCAGGCTGGGCCTGGAGATGGAACAAGTCACACAGTTGTCGGGAGCAACTTAGCAGGTCCCTCCACACCCATCACAGCTGAGGCCTGGAGCCGTCCACGGTGTCAGCACCATTTACCCAGGCGACGGTGGCCTGGGGCGGGGGCTGCAAGGGGCAGCAAGCCGGCTGCCCGGCCAGAGACTAGGGCGGGACCCCGTGTTGCAGAGAGAAATGAGTGTCATAGCACCGATGAAAGGGAAGGGCAACCCTGGCTGGTTTGGCTCAGTGGGTAGAGCGTCAGTGGATAGAGCATCAGCCTGCGGACTGAAGGGTCCCAGGTTTGAATCCAGTCAAGGGCACATGCCCAGGTTATGGGCTCGATCCCCAAAAGGGGGTGTGCAGGAGGCAGCCGATCATTGATTCTCTTTCATTGATGTTTCTATTTCTCCCTCTCCGAAACCAGTAACAATATATTGAAAAAGGGGGGCAGAGCAAGCCCTGCCAGCCTCAGGCAGCTTCAAGGAAGGGCTGTCCTGGAGGATCCCCACCCATGGCCCCAGATGCCGGGAAAGGGCCCCGGGCCTCCCATACAGCCCACGGGGGTGTCTTTTCTCCACGCCCATGGTCCCGGGGACAGCCTGGCCCCCAGGAGGCTCGGGATTGCTTCATCCAGTGGCAAAACAGGGAGAAAGGCTGTGTTTGGGGTCAGACAGGTCAAGGCTCAAATTCAAACTTGGTCATTTGATGATCAAATGGCCTTGAACAAGTGCTTAATCTCTCTGAGCTTGAACTATCTCTGGGTTCCTTGTGGACTGAATACCTTATGAAGTTCTCAGGATAGTCATAGGTAAGGGAGTTACCCATGGCACAGGTTACCATGGCACACACGCCAGCACCCTCCTCCATGGAGGAGGAATATGCACCCCCCCCCCCCGGGGCAGAAACCCTCCCCCTCTCTCTATCCATCTCTCCCCACTGTTGCCTATCACCTTCCTACATTCCGGAACCCACTAGAATTCGTCTGAAAATTCACTTTCCCTGCACATCCTCTCTGCTTACTTCTTGGGTAGAAACTTACCGCCAGTGATGAGATAAGAGCAGAGGACAGGGCCTGAGTTTGGAAACATGCTTCGGAGTTGGCCGTGGTTTTCCGTGCAGCCTTGCTTGACAGACAGGGAGTTTTGTTGGGATGAAAAACACAAAGCAGGTGGATGTAAGTCAGTCAATGGCCTCGCAGCCCCGCCTGCGTCTGGCCCTGACAGCAGCACGCAAACAGCCCTTGGAAATGCTGGTGTGAAGGTGGGTAAAGTGGATTTTCTTTTTCCAAAAAGGAGGAAGTTCTACAGTGATGATCAATCCTCTAGATTCCATAGAGAAACCTGGCCATTCAAGCTGTTATATTGCCACGGGTTTCTTATTTATACCTGCCTCTTTAAGGAGGATTCGGCATGAGTTACTCTCACATATAGAGTGTTTGAATATATATATATATCATCTCCTGTTCACAACAGGATAAAATAAATAGAGGAAGAAACCACGATGAAGGGGTAATAGATGTGCTAAAAATAAATTCATCCAAAAATTCGGCCATAAAATGTGGAGCAGCTGTTCCCATGGGGCAATTCTGATATTAAAATACCCAGAGATGGAGGGGTGGATTTTATTTACACTCATGCAAAGATATTCTTTTCTTAGCCCCCAAACCCCTTGCCCAGAGCCTCCTGGAGGCACTTGGGACCCTATGCCACTAACCCCCGGCGTGGTGGTGTCTCGCCACGCTCTTGCCTCGCGTCACTGTTTCACAGTGACCTTCTCTCCGGGCCCGAAATCTGCCGTTAGAGCCACAGGCCTCAGGCCTGTCTCACCGGGGGTTCCCTAGCCCAGGTGTCCCGCAGCTCCCGGGTCTGGGGTAGCCATCGGCCTGTGAGGAAGGCCGGGCTGAGCATCGTTGGGAGAGATATTTGCTCAAAGAAATGCGATTGTCGAGCCGAAACCGGTTTGGCTCAGTGGATAGAGCTTCAGCCTGCGGACTAAAAAGTCCCGGGTTCGATTCCGGTCAAGGGCATGTGCCTTGGTTGCAGGCACATCCCCAGTAGGGAGTGTACAAGAGGCAGCTGATGTTTCTCTCATCCATGTTTCTAACTCTCCATCCCTCTCTCTTCCTCTCTGTAAAAAATCAATAAAAATATATTAAAAAAGAAATGCAGGTATCGAGTTGTCCCTCATTCTGCATGTACTTACCACCCTGAACGCTTCCATCCGCATCAGGGACCTGCCCTGTGCTTCCGCTGGACGTCAGGCAGACAGGACGTCACGATCTGCAGAGACACTAGCACATGCCATGGACCAGCCACATGGAGCCTTTTTCTCCCTCTCATCCCTACAGATTCTTAACACAAGTTCATCACAAGGGACAAGAGGGAACGAAGTTGTACGGTCTTGGCGCTTCCTAACCAATCCAGGCCCACCCATCTCCCCTCCCTTCGGTGGTACGGTTAGCAGCCCCGAGGGTGCAGCCCACCCTGGCGCTCACCAACTCCATGAACTTGGGCAAACCTTAGCCTCCCTGCGCCTAGACTTTCTCGCCTATAAAATGAAGTCATAACAAATATCCATATAATCGAGTTATTGTGAGGATTAAATGAGAGAATGCATATAAAGCATCGAGCCATTGCTTGCACTCAATAAAAGTCAGCTGCCACAATTTACATTATGAATCTCCTGGCGATGATGACAATGCTTTCCAGCAGTGGTTCCTACCCGGGCACCATTGTGCCTCCCTGGGGACATGGGCAATGTCTGGAGAGACGGTTTGGGTTACCCGAACTCGGGGGTTGTGGGGGGTGCCACTGGCACCGAGTGGGTGGAGGCCCGGATGCTGCTAACCTTCCCACAATGCACAGCGCAGGCCCCAGAACAACACATCAGCAAGGCAAAGGGTGAGAAACCCTAGTTTAAGGCACAGCAATGCCTTGTTCGGAATTTTTAGGCATTCTATTACATCATCTGGACAAACCACAATTTTTTTTTTTTTTAAAGGAGGGAAATACCTTTGTCCATTGGGAAAGTGTCTGCATAACCTGGCACGGTCTGCTCCAGCCTCAGCGCTGCCATCTGTAAAGTGGCTGCGTCCACTCAATTTCTGTGTCCTTCTGGCTCTGACCCTCTCTGCGATGCTGGCTTTCAACAATTCCCCTTTGTGCACGGAGGAAGAGGGGCTGGGCGGAACCGCGGCTGCATTCTGGATAAATAAGAGCACAATTGAATTCCTTTGGGGAATAAATCATCTTTTCATATAAAATCTTCTGAAGACCGTTCGGTGAAGAGTAATAGATCTGCCAGTCCAACACCTGCAGGGTGGGCAATAATTTACGTGGCCCCCTGACTCGGAGGCAGGTCCTGTTCTTGATAAATGGCCCAATTAAGCATCTGTTAATCACAGCATTATCTCATCGGAAGGTGGAATACCTACTTCTCTCAAGCAGTTTCTCAGCGAGATAACATCACAAATTCCCAGAGAGGCGAAGGGCATTTAACAGCACCAGGGGGCGAGGGGGGGTGGGGGGGAAGCCATGCCCCGCTCTGGGGCTTCAACCCTAGAGGTTGCTGGGAATATCCTCTGCACCCCATCCCGGCCCCTCCCCCATCAACCTTCCTATAACCTCGGCTCCTGAACTCTCCTGTTCGTCTGAGGCCTTGATAATAAAGCAACATCTGCAAAAACCTACAAGAACGTTACTGCAGTTAATTGAGTAATTGAAGCAAGATGCAGGGAGAGGTGATCTATGGGCCTGGGTTGAGGGCCGAGAAGGGAGACAACGGATTTATGGCAAAGGCCGTGGGCGGCCTCGGGTCCGGGCCCTGGTTCACGGGAAGTTTGAGGTCATGTGGGATTAAAATATCTTCAGAAACAAATGGCATAATTTGACTGAAATAGCGGGGAACGCTGTGCCAGCTTATGCCAGGAGGCTGGGTGTGATTTATTTAACCTGCTCCCAACACATTTTTTCGATATCGGCCCCATGCGTCTAAATGTATAGATGATGGAGCAAATGGAGATCCCTTGTTCGTGTCTGTCCGTCCGTCTGTCTCATCCTGATGGTTGCATGAAGCCTGGCTTTTGGAGTTCAAGAAAAGGAACATTAGGCCTTCAAAGGCCCGGAGCCCCGGAACCTTCCCCGGTGGTGGGCCGGGCCAGAGATATTTACAATCTAGTGGCTATGTTTGCTCCAGAGAGGCTTGTTAGAGCAATAAGCAACGGGTGGTAATATCTTCTCGTAGTAATCTGAATAAGCCCGTAAATCTTTACGTGCAAGCGTAATTCGCCACCTTGAAGTCATCGGGCGTGATGCAATCTATGCGTTGGCTTTGCAGATGCCAGATGCACACATGACAGAGACATAAAGCCGCCTGGCATCGGGGCTGCCCCGGGCCTCGCCCGAGCCCACGCCCCCTCGCCTGCCAGAGGACCGACCGGCGTTGGGGAAGGTTATTGCTCCTTTTGTAGTTTCTCCGCTGCTTTATTAAATCCCCGATCCCTTGCAAAACTGTACAATTTTAATAACTCAAATCCGCGCGGATCATAAAGCTGTCTAAATATACCTCGCACCCCGGGTATCAGACGGATCCGCGGGTGATGATGTCACTGGACCTGATTAACCGGAACAGGTCACCGACAAGATTTTATTACGAGTGTCATTTAGATTTCTGACAGCTTTACAAGGCCTAATGGCTTTTTATTAAATACATTGTGTTCGGGGAACACTGACAGTCGGGGATGCCTTGTAAAGACAATGCCCTGGAATGTCCTTAGAAGCCGCCTGAGAGAAAGCAGAAGGAGCAGGGGACGTCCCTCCCTGTCCTCGGCCCCGGGAGGCCCGGAAGTCATGGCCTCCTGCCGCCAAAGACAAATGACCCCCGGGCACTGCCCCCACCGGCTCTCCCCGCCCGGCAGGCCCGCCCCGGGTCAGCCCAGCTGTGTTCTCTGGCGCACCCTCCAGAGAATTAAATCCCTTGGCCCAGAGGGTCAGTCCCTCCGGCCCGCCCCCCCAAAAAACCAGGCCTTCTCCCAGAAGTCAGTGAGGCTGGCCTCTCTGAAATTCGTGTTCTCTGTGGGTGGACTGGCCAGGCTGTGTTTGCTTCTGCCCAGGGTTCATTGGACCCACTTGGGGAGAGACGGGAGGAAGGATGGACGGACATGCCACAGCCCCCATGGCCGTCCCAGGTGCTTGGGGCCCTGGGGAGATGACTAACCCCATCACGCCACCACCTAGCGGGCAGGTGTCTTTACTTGCTTTTAACAAGGGAGGAAATGCAGGTCCAGAAGGATTTGGCCAAAAAGTGGAAGGGCGAAAGGGGCCGACTTTGGATGAGTGCGGGTTATTTCTCACGCCTCTCTCTTTGAAGGCCAGGCTGGTCCCCGGATGTACAGATGAGGACCTCTCACTCAGCCCAGACCAGGGCACAGCCGCCCTTCCTGGGTGTCCTTTCTGCCTGGGTTCTATCTGAAGTGCTTTCCCTGCATCGTCTCCTTGAATTCTGACAGCAGCCCCATAGGGTCGCATACTGTTCGTATTACCCCCACCTCACAGGGGGAGCATGATGCTCAAGTCCATGCAAACAGCCAGAGGCGGAGGCAGGATTCGAACCCAGGGAGGCTGTGCTCTGAATGCCCTGAGCTCTGACACTCCAAGCCTTCCCTGCTCACCAAGGATCAGAAAAGCATGCAAATCCCCAACATCTCTGGCTTATGTACAGCCTCCAAATCCTTGTGCATGCATCTTCTCGCGAGATTTTTCACAGCTGCATTTGCAAGGCAGCCAGACAAGGAGTCACGACCTCCATCTCCCAGATTGGGCAGCGGAGGCAGACAATTTTCTCCCATCCCCGTGGTCCCCCAGCCGGCGGGCCTGGCTGGGCTCCTGGGGTCTCTCCCGGTAATTTGCTCACCGTTTCTGATCTCTGGGGCTTGGGAGTCTAATCTTACGTGAGGGTTTAGTTTCCCAAACTCCACCTGTGCATGGACTCGTTTTAAAGGAAAAAATAATTCGCAGGTTATGGAGACTTTATCTTGGACCCCGCTGTGGGCCGAAGCAACACGGAAGGCTTCCTCGACAACAAAGCAGGTTGTTATTGCAACAGAGATGTGCTTAGACGTTAAATAATTATTTTTATATTCTTAAAATAATATAAGATTTTTTTTTAAAGGTTGTTTGGAATTTAATGGCTTTCCAAGACTACATCTGTGGGCTGCAGGTGGAGAGTCACTGAATTAGGGAGAGCTGCGATGCGGGGTCATCTGAGAAAGGCCAGAGCAGCTGGAGGGATGGCCACGCCACCCTGTCTCATCCATCATGTCCCCTGTCCGCCTCAGGGAACGGACACCTGGCTCAGGCCCCTGTGCCCACCCCCAGTGTTTGGGTGGCAACCTGGAGCTCCTTCCCAAGGCACTAAACCTGCCCCCTGGCCCGGCAAGCCAGCACCTGCCCCGCTCTCATTGGGGGCGGGTAGAGTCTTCCTGTGTGCTTCCTTGTTCCCCCAGAATGAGTGCCACCTGTGGGCCAAAATCTCGGGGGCAGGAGGTTCAACTTCCACCCAGGACATTTGGGAAATACCAATAGCTCGTGTCCTGGAGTTAGAAAGGAGGCACTGCTTCTATGAAGAACAGGATTCCCTAAAGGGATGGCAACTTGCTCCCCCACACATTTGATACATTTCCTAAAGTGGCTCCACCAGCCCAGACCCCCTCTTTCGTGTTAGGCTGCCCCAGCCACGTGGAGAAGGCACCCCTTGACCTGAATCAGAAATAAGTGAGTCCTAGGCTCCCCTGCCGACCATCACATTGGACCTGTGAGCCCCGTGTTCTGCCCAACAAACTCTGGATCCTCTTAGGCATCCCAGAGGGTACCAGGAGGGTGAGTGAGATAACCAAAGTGCCCACCCAGGGGCCCAGCACAGAATATAGGCCAGATGCTCCCATTTCACCCCTGAAACTCACGGTGAAATCAGAGGGAGTCCACTCCATTCCTGGCCACCCCCAGGGCAAAGCAGTCCGTTTGGACAATGCATCATCAATAAGGATGCTAAGTACCCTAGCCGGTTTGGCTCAGTGGATAGAGCATCGGCCTGTGGACTGTAGAGGTCCTGGGTTCAATTCCAGTTGAGGGTACATACCTCGGTTGCAGGCTCAATCCTTAGCCCGGGTTAGGGTGGATGTGGGAGGCAACTAATCAATGTGTCTCTTTCTCACATCGATGTTTCTCTGTGTGTGTCTCCCTCTCCCTTTCACTCTCTGAAAAATCAATGGAAAAATATACTCGGATGAGGATTAACAAAAAAAGAAAGAAAAGATGCTAAGTGTCAAATTGTTGGAGATGGTGGGTGTCAGAATTGCCATGAAATCATAAGCGATCCTTTCCCTCCATTTCTCTCAGCCTTTGTCTCAGGTCAACATTTACCTGCCTGTAGTCCCCACAACCCAAGGACTCCAGGTAGAGCCCCCAGTGGCTTAACGCCATATCTACACGGTTAACTCCTAGTGTCTCTGACTCATGGCCCTCCCGCTTACCTTGCCGCTGGCTGCATGGGGTGCGGTTAGAGTGCGGGCCAGGCCTGGACCTCTCCTCTCTGCTCCCCGCTCTCTGTCACCAATTGCCTCCAGCACCTTGGAAAGGGTCACGTGGATTCACCTGAGCAGCACACAATGAGGGGAGGATGGGCGGAAATCAGGAGCATGCTATCCACCTGCCTTGGACCCTGCCTTCCTGCCAGCCGCCCGGTGAAGGGAGAGGCAGAAGATTCGGAAAGCCGGACATTGCCCACGGACAGCACCTACCTGCTCGGGGAACCTGCCTCTCCCAGGAACCCTCATGCCTGCTCATGTCACTGAACGACAACAGGGCCGCACAATATCGCAGCCCCCATCCCAGGCCCCCCACAGTCCTGAAGGCGTGTCTTAGCAATGGCTGCACTCACCTGTCATGCTTCCCCAGATCTCGACTCTTCCATGGATCAGCCGTGTGACCCTGCATCTATGATTTACTCTCTCTGAACCAGCCTCAATGTTCCCATCAGTGAGAATGGGCATAAGGATGCCTACTTCTCAACGAGCGAGTAGGGGAAGGCCCTCACCAGAGCCAGTGCACAGCCAATGTTCAATTAATTTAAAAAACAATTATTGCTACCCGTGTTTCCCCAAAAATAAGACCTAGTGCATGGAAAGCTAAGACATCCCCTGAAAATAAGACCTAGCGCAACTTTGGGAGAAAGAATTAATATAAGACACTGTCTTATTTTCGGAGAATCAGGGTAGAGGATGTTCACATCGCACGCCTTTTCGGAAAGGAAGGACTGAGCATCTCATGGGGCATAAGGAGTACCTCTGCCTACCTCACCAGGCCTCATGAAGGGAAAAAAATAGTCCCCACCACTCAGGCCAAGACATCTTGATGGTTGACTGAGGTGCCTGCCACCCACAGCTCCCACCATAGCTACCTGTGCTGAGCCAGGCTGCTCTGGGCCAGCTCTCACCTGCTCTGTGTCTAGAATCCGAGGAAAGTTCTTTCTCCATTGTCAGTCTCCAAAGGCAGCCAGCTCTATCAGTGTAAGTCTTAACAGACTTGAAAAAGGAGCACCTCATCTGTCCTCCCAGACCGCTCCTCCCTGTGACTGTCTATACGGCCCCGGGAGTTCCCACCTCTAAGTCAGGGCTCAGGGGTTCAGACAAATGTGGGGAAGACCCTACCTACAGCAGGTCTGGTGGGGGTGGGATGGGGTGGGGGTGGGGTGGGGGTTCATGTCCCAGAGCCAGGTCTCCTGGCAGGATCTCTCCCCTCTCCCTGGCTACACATCTGTCCAGGCTTGGCTCTGCTTAACCCAACACACCCTCTTACTGCTCCCCCCCCCCCCCTGTTAATGAAGTCACCCCCTTTAGACCTGCCTAGCTGTCCTGCTTCTCTTCCTGCTCCTCCCGGATCCTCTCCACACCTGGCCCTGAGTCTAGACACCAACCAATGGCGCCCGCTCTCCACAGGTGACATTCCAAACTCCTCCCCAGGTTTAGCAGATTCTTCCGAACTTCCCTTTGCTTTTCTGCCCATCACCCAGCCAGCTCCTACTCCAGCGGCAGGCCTCAGGTGCCACCTCTTCTGGGAAGGCTTCCCTGATGCTCCTCCTCAGAGCTCCCACAGCTGCCTGTTCTTTCCCGCCCAAGCACGTGGGCTCCGATTGCCCGTTCCCCTGCCTCCCCGACTGGCTGGAGTAGCTGACTCCTCTCTGGCTCCCAGTGCCCACCTGGATGGCGAAAACCACGCAGAACCCACGAGTGCCTAGTGACTCTTTCTGGAAACTACCCGGAGTCTCTCAGATTGGGACACGCAGCTCAGAGCTCGCCTGCTCGAGGCACCGAGGCACCAGGAGATTTCAGAACCCCGGGCCTGTGGCCTTGCGGGGTCTGCCTTGCAGAGGTCTGCCTGCGAGGCCTGTGGTTTTACTGCTCATGGAAATGAGGCTGGCAGATCAAAGGCACGGCTCCGCTGCCGGCCCAGATTGCCAACAGCCAGCACTATCCAAATTTCGCTTGAATTGGTAATTCGAAATTAAGTGGGTTAATGATTGACATCGATTTGTAAAACCTGGCCCACCACCTTGCCTCCTGCAAACAGGGGCTGGCTGGGAGCTTTCAAACGGGAGTTCATTTAGCCCTGGCCATGCCCCGCCCCCCATCCCAACTTTAAAGGGCCCCTGTTCTCAAAAACTCCCCGCCATGCCATTCCTGCAAAAAGGCTTAGCACCTGAGATCCCCTTTCAGAAATAAAAACTCACAAATTCGAGCCACGGGGGAAAGCCTGGTGTGACTTTGCACCTGTAGCACATGAGTCACTTGATTAAGAAAATGCTCAAACTCCAGTGTGCGATTTCTCTCTGTGTGGGGTACAGGAGAGTGGGGGGCGGGGGAGGCCGAGGAGGGGGAGAAATACCTTCAGCTGCACCAGCTTTCAAATCCTAACCAGGGCCTAGCCCTAGCCTAGCCAGTTTAGGCTCAGTGGATAGAGCATCGGCCTGCAGACCAAATGGTGCAATTCCAGTCAAGGGCACACCCGTAGCTGGTTGCAGGCTCCTCCCTGGCCCAGGCCCTGGTCTGAGCTCATGCAGGAGGCAACCAATCGATGTGTTTCTCTCACATCGATGTTTCTTTCCTTCTCTCTTCCACTCTCCCTAAAGATCAATGGAAAAATATCCTCGGGTGAGGACTAATAAACAAATCAGAAAAATCCTAATCGGGGTCTAAGTCAAGCATGTCAAACTCGAGGCCCGTGGGCCTCATGCCTCGTTTATTTGGCCCGTGTTAGCCTTTGAGTTTGACATGCTTGGTCTAAGTATGTGGGGCCATCCCCATTTTGGAAAGGGACTTTTCCCATTGCTGCTTTATTGTATGACCCGTCTGTCTACGTGAACAGCTGTTGGAGGACTTCAAAGCGACCTAGCATGGGGCAGGCGGGCTGTCTCCTCACCTATGTTTGGAAGCTGGAGAGGACAGGGGCTTCCTGAGGAGGGCGGGGTCCCCCTGTATCACATGGGGGACACCCAGCCAGGAGCAATCCTCTTACAAAGCCTCCGGTGAACTTGGACTTGGAAATGCTCTGACGACGCACAGAGAATCCGTGGGAGGAACACATCCTTCGTGAAGGCCCTGAGCCCCGCTGGGCACCTACTGGGCCTCTGCAGAGACCTCCAGTCCAGATGAGGCCCACCTGCCGGGGCCAGTCCATCCACACCTCCTGGCATGCGGGCAGCCCGATTCCGAGAAGGCTGACCTGGCTAAGGATGGCTCCTGAGGGAGGACAAGGGCAGCCCCGGTTTCATCTATAAATTGGGACATTCGTTGCTTTCCATCAGGAACGGGGAGGAGCCAATGAGATCATCGACTTAGAGCAGGTGGCCCGGTGCCCAGCACCTCGCCCTCCCCGCTCTCCTGAGAGGCGGGCACATTGGTTCCTAGTGATTGTGACTCACATGGCCACTCAGGGTCACTCCGGGAACTCGTTTTCCTGCTGTTTGTTTGTCTCGGCCTTTCTGGAACAGAGGCCGGGGAGCCGGGAAGAGAGAGGGACGGAGGCTGCTCTGTCACGTGGGATCTCAGGGAAGGGGCGACAGGAGGATGGAGGACAGGAGCGCGGGTTGGGACAGCTCCCTTCCCAGAGCTCGGCCCCCTGGCCAGCTCCTGCCTCGGGTGGGATGGAGGGCGAGGGAGGGCCAGGGGGCCGAGGAAGGCCGGAGCAGGGAAGGCCACCTCCAGCTTCCACCACGCATGTCCTTCTGCCCAGCTTTCCAAGTTGGTTACGCGCGAGGGATCCTGGGTTGCATATTAATAAAACAATGGAATTTTTATTTCTTCTTCTCATAAATTACATAATTCAAACCTTAAAACACCTTTAATGAACAGTGACTGGGCATGTGACACTTAATAAAACGCGGCTCGGGTCAGTTTCTGCTTGACAGGCTACCAGCCGGGAATGTGCCTTGCGAGTCAATGATTAAGAGGCGGGGATCTTTCCTGGGCTCCACTATTAAACACTTCAAAGGTTTCCAAAGTCAGATAAAATGAAAAGCAAATGTGTTTCACTGCCTCTCAAATGCCTCAAATGTTTTAGCAGGTGCAAGCAATGAAACCTGCCATGGTGACAGCATTTTAGGGTCTGCAAAGTGCACCCGACGGAATTCTGGGAATTCTGGGCCGGCTTCATAAAAATGCACGATTTCCAATGAGGAGAGGTGGCCGTCTGCATGTGGGGCACGAAAGAAACAGGTCTCAGGGTCCTGGGGTCAAGGGTCAGCTTAACCCTCTCTGCCCCGGGAGAGACCCAGGTCTGCTCGGATCTCAGCATCCCCAGCTGGGAGGTCAGCCTTGTGCTGGCAAAGCAGATGGGCAAAGTCTCTGGGTTGGCTCAGACTTTCCAACAGCACATTCATGGCCAGGTCAAGCCCAAGTACTTCTTTTTTTTAAAAAAAAAAAATGTATATTTTATTAATTTTTTACAGAAAGGAAGGGAGAGGGATAGAGAGCTAGAAACATCGATCAGCTGCCTCCTACATACCCACTACTGGGTATGTGCCCTCAACCAAAGCACATGCCCTTGACCAGAATCGAACCTGGAACCCTTGAGTCTGCAGGCCAACACTCTGTCTACTGAGCCAAACCGGTTAGGCCCCAAATCCTCTTTTTCTGGGCACGAGTACCCTTCTACTTGGTCTAGGAGTGCACTGCAGACTACAGACTGAGGACAGACAGACGGTAGATGTGCCATGTTAAAACTTCGGTACCCCAGTTTCCTCATCTGTAAGATGGGGGTGATCGTGGCGCCCACATCACAGGGTGTTTGTGAGGTTAGCATCCTAGAAGCACGTAGATCCCCCCCCCCCCCCCCCCCCCCCCCGCAGAATTCAATGCGTGTTCTCAATCCTTATCGTCCTGTTAGGAAAAATGAACCCAAATGTTAGCATTCTACCGCTTGGCCACTTGAGATTTTCATTTGAAATTTGCTGTTAACTGAGCTTGATACGTCATCGTCATGTCTCGCATAGACATATAATGTTTTATGGTTTACAGAGGACGTTCTGAGACGTTACCTCATTCCAGCCTTCCCGGGGCGAGGCTGGCACAACCAGGGATGGGGTTTCTGCTCTGCCGAGGCTCTCTCACGCAGAGTCGGACCCATCACGGGGGCCTCTGTGTCCCGAGGGCACCCATCTGTGAAATGGGCACAGAGAGGCTCCCTCTGAATCACAGCGCAGCCCACACCGAAGAGCTGGCACCAGGCAACATCCGCTGGGTTCTCAGAGTTCCTGCCCCATTGTGGGCACCGGCAACTCAAACGCACTGGGCAGATTATCTCCGTCATCTTGTCATCTTGCAAGCACTTGCTCCTGGGACCTCAGCTTTTATCCTTCCCCTTCCGCAATGAGGAAGGCAGTGAAGTGACATTCCAAGAGCCAGTGAAGGAGAACCCCTTGGCTCATGCCTGGGGGAATAGCTGAGCGGTGATCTTTATCACAGAACATTCTCCTGCTTTCCTGGCAGCACGGATTACTCACCTCCCCCTCACCAGGAGCTCTGCTGTGCTCGCCCCGGAAAGCCTGTAGCTCAGGGGACTTGGAAGTCCAGACACATCCCACAGGCCTTTCACCACATGGGCTTTTAAGAAATAGGCACACTGCCCGGCCAGCATGGCGCCGGGGTGGAGCATCACCTGTGAACCAGGAGGTCACAGTTCAATTCCTGATCAGGCCACGTGCCCAGGTTTGGGCTCGATCCCCATTGCGGGGCGTGCAGGAGGCTGCCAATCCATGATTCCCTCTCATCATAGATGTTTCTATATCTCTCTCTTCCTACCTCTCTGAAATCCATAAAAACGTATTTTTTTTAAAATAGGCATACATATCTTTTAGTTTTTCTCTATATAATTTGTACTTCTAGTAAACAAGGGATCATGCTAGACCCACAGCATAACCATACGCTCATCTGTAGCCTAGCATAACCTCTAGAAGCTTCTCACTACCCAGCCACACAGCCCCCCACCTTCTCTATGGCCTGTAGGCACACAGTGGAGGTACCCTTCTCCAAAATCACGGTGTTTCGGCTCAAACATCCCTCCTCTCCTGCCCTACCCTCCGCGTCCCCCGCCCCCAGTCCACCCATAAACCATGTTAGACTCAGGTTGGCCTCTACTCTGCTCCCAACACACGCCAGCCATGAACTATGGTATCCACTCATGCCTCTCTAAACATTCTATTTAAGGACATAGTTGTAAAATGTGTGTAAAGGGGTCATTGCCAGGACGTTCTTTATAGCATTGTTTATAATAATGAAAGATGCAAAACACCGGAAGTGTCCAGTATTAGTAACATTTGGAACAACCATACGCTCAATGATGTGGGTGTTGTGTACAGGAAAACACACTCATGTGTCATGCTAATTACACATGAGCTTGTGGCAAAGTCTAATGTATGTCTAGAGCGATCCCTTGTTTATTAGAAGTACACGTTTTACTCATATATATTACAAGATAGGTATACCCATTTTTAAAAGCCTACGAGTATGTACGTGAGTTGGTTTATTGTGTTTCCTGCTCAGTAATATGATAATCAAATTGAATTTGTTCTTCAATTTTTGTTTTCAGTCCTGTACTTTTATTTTTTTCAGTTTACAAATGTCATGATTTATTTTTTTAAATAAATCTTTATTGTTCAGATTACAGGTGTTCCTCCCCTCACCCATAGCTCCCCTCCACCTGATTCCCCACTCCACCCCATGCCCTTATCCCACCCCTCCATCCCCCCTGCCACTGTCTTCATCCACAGGTATAAGACCTTTGCCCAATCTCTTCCCACATGTCCTGTACTTTTAGATTTGCTATTTTGTTCCATTTTATTTCTTTGGCTCATCCCTATTTTCTGATTTCTCTACAGCAGTGGTCGGCAAACCCATTAGTCAACAGAGCCAAATATCAACAGTACAACAATTGAAATTTCTTTTGAGAGCCAAATTTTTTAAACTTAAACTTCTTCTAACACCTCTTCTTCAAAATAGACTTGCCCAGGCCGTGGTATTTTGTGGAAGAGCCACAATCAAGGGGCCAAAGAGCTGTAGTTTGCAGACCACAGCTCTACAGGAAACACAATTTCTTTTGTTATATTAAAAATGTTCTTCTTAGTTAAAAAGTACTTAGCATTTCATGGCTGAGAGTGGCTCTGGAATTTATCTAGTCTGATGGCCCTTATTTCCAGTTGGGTAAACTGAGGCCCAGAGAACTGAAGTGCCTCCACAAAGGTCTTCAAGCCAACTTGGTGGCAAAGACAAGATCCCCAAACCTAGCCCAGTTCTTCTGTGAAGGCCTGTGATGTCACAAGTTTTATTTTTTATAAACATGGAAAGACCTCTTCCATGAGGCTGAATGCATGAGACCCCCCTCCCCGCCCTCTCCCCCCAACCCCCGCCTCTCACTGAAACAAAGCATTCCTCCATTGGCACAAAAGCAAATGTGCCTCCTCCTGCATCCGCTCCACCCTCTCTCCCAGGTGAGGAACCCAGTGGTGCACAGAGCAGACATGCCGGGCACAGGAAGAGGGGTCACTCCAGATGTCAGCACATGATTCCTGTTCCGGCTACCATTCCGCGTACAGAGCAAGTGGGGGCACTGCCCTGCCCTCAGCTCGAGCTACCCCCAGGCTCATCCTGGGCCCTGGTTAATGAATAACGTGGCCAAATGAATGGGCAGAGATTGTATCAGCCTGTTCCAAAGTTATTTTTTTCCTAAAACACCCTAAGCATTTGTGGTTTTTCCGTCTCACTCATCATGACTCATTCACTTGCTGGTGCTGAAATGGAAGGTGGTTGTTCTATTCAGTTGCAGTCATTTTTCCATCCAGGAAAGGGAAGAAGCGGTGTCCTAACAGGGCCCTCAGTGAGAGGAAGGCTGGGTGGTAGCTGAGCGCCTGCCAAGGCCTTCAAGAGCAAGTTCAAGCTGGTGTTAACAGTGTCCATCCCTCACTAGGGCTCGGTGCTTCCCCTTCCCCAACCTTCACCTCATCTCAGGGATCCCCACCAGTGTCTGCACCAGGCCTGGGTGTTCCTCTACAGATGGGGAGTCGGAGGGTGTTCAGAGAGGCTGAGTGAATTTCTAAGGTCTCTCAGGTAGGAAGGTGGCCCTGGCCCTAGTTCAGTGTCTTCCCCTGTACTAGCCTCAGAGAGGATGTGAGGAGCTGCGGGACCCCACTGCTCTACCATAGGAGGCAGAAGGAATACTTGGAACCATTTAGGAATGAGAGTAGAAAAATCAAATTATAGACAACATCCC